AGGTGGGGGAGGAGGGACCTGAATGACGGGGGAAGGGGGGGAAACAAGGTCATAGAGAGAGGCTATGCATCTGCAAGGACATCAATGATGGACAGAAGGAGGAGACAGGACCTGAATGATGTGTAAATGGAGAGGAGGGATCTGAATGATTGACAGAAAAGAGGAAGGGACATACTGTCTTAGAGGGAGGCTGTGTTCGTTCAAGGACATTAATGATTGACAGGAACACAGATGAACATGATGATTGACAAAGAGAGGGACCAAAATGGTTGACAGGGAGAGGGTGGGAACTGAATGATTGACAAAGTGAGAGATAGGAAGACAATTGTCATAGAGTCTATGCAAGGAAATGAATGATTGACAGGGGAAGACAGAGGGACCTGGGTGTTTGACAGTGGGAATGGGAGGGGCACATTGTCTAGGAGGAAGACTGTGTACCTGCAAGGACATGAATGATTGACAGGGGAGAGAAAAGGGTCCGAATGATTGACAAGGAAGAGGGAAGGAACCGAAGGATTGATAGGGACAGAAGCAGAAACCTAAATCATTGACAGAGGAAGGGGACATTTATCTCAGTGTATCAGTGGCATCATTCTAATGGAGAGAGGCTGGACACAGGAAGTGAGAAAGTGATTAACAGGGGAGGGTATCTATGACACTAATTAAGAGAGGTGCGTTGAGTCGGTGGGACTTTCTGGCACTTCCTGTCAGACAGGAAGTGCCCTAGGGAGTGGGTGGAGAGGAGGTAGCAGCTGTGCGGCTGGGCAGATGGTTCCTGTAGGTTTGACTCGGCTCTGACTGACAAGACAGTGATTTGGGTTAAAGGGAGGATATGAGTGGGTAGGACTTCCATGGCAGACAGGAGTGCCCTGGGGAGTGGGCTACAGGGGCTTCTGGGTAATTTTTATTTCTTGTGGTTCATGGATGTGAGAGTCTTAGCTTGTGTGGGCGTGACTGTAAGGGCTTAGCCTGTGAGATGTGGCTTATGAGGGGCATGGTCAATGAGGGGCGTGCCCGAAGGGTTTTCTGGAATCCACTGGGCCCTCCCACACCTGCTATCAATCAAGATAGTGCACTTTAGAATTTTCCTGAGTGCACTGGGCTATCTTCTACCAGCTGTCAAATGGTTGACCCGAGGCACAATGATGACTTCACAGCATCACCTGACCCTGCTCTCCCCCTGGCAGACACCGAGCGACTGTACTCCGAGGCCTTCCAGGCCGTGTGTTCACGTCATGGGAAGAGCTATGACTGGGGCGTGAAGTCTGCGGTAATGGGGAGGACAGCTCCGGAGGCCGCACGGGTCATCATAGATGTCCTGGGACTTCCGATGTCAGTGGAGGAGCTACGGCAGGAGACTGATGTTGAGCTCGCCCGCCTGCTGCCTACGGCCGCACTCATGCCTGGTAAGTACCAGGCTCACATGGGGGATTGACATCACTGAGAGATTACAGGCGTCATGTGAGCCAGGGGCTGTCCATCGATGAATAGCAGGCTGGGTTGTCTCTGTCATGTGACCCTGGCTCCTTCCTCTTCTATCATGAGACTCTGGCCTTGCCCCTGTCACGTGACCTTCTTGATCCCCAGGGGCAGAGAGGCTCATCCGGCACCTGCACTCGCACAGCATCCCCTTTGCCTTGGCCACCAGCTCAAACTCTGCCTCCTTTGCCATGAAGATTACCCGGCATGGAGACTTTTTCCGCCTGTTCCATCATGTGGTGCTGGGCGACGACCCGGAGGTGCATGCTGGGAAGCCGGCCCCAGACATATTCCTCACCTGTGCACGGAGGTTTGCTCCTGCGGCCACTCCAGACATGGTGAGTAGTCCACTCTCAGCTTAGTGGGAGGGGTCAGGCTCTCAGGCGAGGATGGGGGTCAGAGGGAAGGGTCAGAGGTAACAAGGAAGGGTTAGATGTCACAGGTGAGAGTTGGGTCACAGAGGAGTGGTGGGGATCACAGGAGGGTCAATGGTCACTGGAGGTTTGGATGTCACAGGGGTTCACAGGGGAGAGTCAGGGTGTGACTCCCTTGGTGGGACACTCACCCATTACCCCCCAGGATAGCCCTCAGTGACCTGGTCCTTCTTTCTGGATCTCCCTGTGGTGTGATTACAGACTGCTGGATAGGCTGAAGACAGAGACAGAAGGCTAGACCTCTAACACAGTAGTGTCTGGGCCTGCCCACTACCGGTCGTTAGCCACCCACTGTTGGTCCTATGAATCATTTGCACGTACCTCATTAGCATTCACATCCACCTCATTTGCAGGCACAGGTACCCCATTAGCATGCACGTCAATAGTGTACATATCTACCCCGTTAACATGCACAGTGAGCTCCTTAGCATGCACTTCATTAACATGCACAATGATGTCAATACCATGTGCCTCATTAGCATGCACAACCACTGTATTAGCATGTACCTCATTAGCACACACCTTATCTCTGGGTCCTGTAGGAGGAGCTCCAAACTCATATGGATTTGCACACAGAAACTGTCACCTCTCAGAGTCACATGATGACTGACAGCAGAGGAGCTGGTGACCCAGGAATCATTTCTGGGATACATGATGTTAGTTTCAAGGCTCCCCGGGCACCGTGTTATTACGATAATTATTATCTTACCTTCCCTGACTTTGACTGGCTTTATCATCATCGTCATCATTAGTATTGTCATTATTTCACACTGTATTTTATATTCTACGACATATGCTGTGTATTATACATAACTACCTACATTCTATATACATAGATATACACTGTACTGTATACAGTGTATAATAACATCTGTACATAACTGCCCATTATATACATAACACATACTGTATTGTGTATACTAATATATGATGTGTATCTATACATAATTGTGTACATTATATGTCTGTATACTATATATTATATACACATACAGTATTATATAAACTGTATAATATATAACATGCATAGTTCTATATGTTATAACTATGTACATTATATACAGGTAACACTGTACTGTGTATACTGTAAGATATATGACATGTCTGTACAAAGCTCTATACATTATATACACATAACATACACACTACTGGGTATATGGTAAGATATGACATGTGTCTGTACATTACTCCATACATTATATACACATAGTACAATGCACTGTTTATAGTTTAAGAAGACATGTATCTGTCCATAACTACCTACATTATATACACATCACAATACTGTACTGTGTACACTAAGATATATGACGTGTGTCCTACATAACTACATATAGGTTATAAATACACATAACATACATTGTACTCTATACTGTAGGATATATGACACGTGTCTGTACATAACCTCATACATTATATACACATCACACACTGCACTGTGTATTCTGTAAGATACATGACGTGTGTACGTAGCTACGTACGTTATATACCCATAACACACACTGCACTGTGTGTACTGTAAGATATATGACTTGCGTCTGTTATATAACTATATATATTACAACATGTGACATCCCCCCCTGTCCATGTCCCCACAGTGCCTTGTCTTGGAGGATGCTCCGCACGGTGTGGATGCAGCACTGGCTGCTGGGATGCAGGTTGTCATGGTTCCTGATGAGAACCTTAGTCGGGACCTAACGTCGAAGGCCACAGTGGTGCTGCGCTCCCTGGAGGACTTCCTGCCCCAGGCGTTTGGTCTGCCAGCCTATAAGTGACACCAGGGATCAAGTGACATCCTGTGGGGGAGGGAGATGGCATCCTACGGGTGCATACATATACATACATAGCTATACATATACATATATGTACACAGACATGCCTCTATCTCCTGAGTGCTGAAAAATAAAGGTTCACCAACACATGGTTGTGTGATAAGATATCCTGGGGCGGGGAGCATGATATCCTGTTGGGGCAGGGGAGAGACATTGTTGTGTTCCTATGACATCACACTGACGGAGAGAGGCTGGGCACAGGAAGTAGATGAGTGATTGACAGTGGAGAGGAAGGGACATTGCAACTTATCTATAACACTAATAAAGAGGCGCCTGTTGGGGAGGGACATTACAGTGATTTTATGGGACTGCCTGTGGAAGTGCCCTTGGGAGTGGGCGGAGAGGAGGGAGCAGCTGTGGGGACTAGGCAGGTTATGACCATAGGTCTGACTCAGTTTCCATCACAGACAGGACACAGGGTTAGAGGGAAGGTGTGAGTGGGTGGGACTTTCGTGTCAGACGAGAAGTGCCCAGGAAAGTGGTCAGGGAAGAGCTGTGGAGGGAAGCATGTGAGTGGCAGAGACTGCTGTGTCACACTGGAATTGCCCTGGGGAGTCAAAGGGCTGTAGGGGACCGGGTTCTTGGAGACTGAAGGGGCGTGGCTGTGCGGTTAGGATCTGCCCAGAGGTAACATGGGGGCAGAACCTGCCCTGAGGTGACACCGAGTGACATTGGGGTGGGACCTGCCCTGAGGTGACACTGAAGGACCTTAAATGAAATTTAAATTTACATTTAAATGAAATTTAAAAGGAATGAAATAGCTGGAATATGATAGTGAAATAAGAGATAACTCAGGAATTGGGAATGCAATACAAGAAATAAAAAATAATACGCTACAAGTTGTTGATAAAGGACAAGGTCATCTCAGAAACTCATAACTGACAAAAACTGAGACTTACTGCTGTTGGCTTAGCCTATAGTGGAAAATGGTAAGAGCTCCTGAAGAGTTTAAGTTAGCCTGGGTGACTCCATTTTGAAATGAGGAACCATCTTGACTGGTTGTTGAACTCAGGTACCAGGAAATATCACAGAATGTGCACTTGACAGAAAACAAAGTTAACTCTCCTAGCAACAGCCTCCAGGAAATATCACAGAATAAATACTTGATAGAAAATAGAGACAATCTCCCTGGCAATGATCAATGAGAATCAGTTGGTAAAATTCTCCCTAAGGTTCCAGATATAGTTTAGAAGAATGGAAATTGTGATTATATGCCTTAGGCAATTGTGATTATGTGCCTCAGAGAGGGTCACTTTGCCACTCTGACTTTTACCCAATCCTGTAATGCCAAGGCATGCACCCCCCTGCTTGTGGACTTTCTCTTTAAAAACCCCACTCACCCAGGGCTGGAGGTCCCACTTCTCTACAGCTGCATCAGTGAGACTTGGGTTCCGAGTTCCATTGCTCTCATAATAAAGCTCTCTTGCTCTTGCATCTAGTTGTCTCCTGGTGGTCTCTGAGGGTCTCATGATCCTGGCACAACACTAGAGATTTTAGTCACTTCGGCAACACACATACCAAAATTGAAACAATCTAGAGAAGATTAGCATGGCCCCTGTGGAAGGATGAGACACAGATTCATGAAGTGGTCCATATATTTAGCCTCTGACCTACAGCTTTACCTGCCTTATTAAGGAGGACTCCTTGGTGCCCAGGATCATCCAACCCACAGCTCATGGTCCTGTCTGCCTTCCCAGGAAGGCAAGCGAGGCCTCAGGATGACCCAGGTTAGACCCCTCCAACCCAACAACCTGCTTGTGGGTCCAGCTGGGACACAGCCAGCAGAGAAGAGCTGCAGGCCGTTCCCTAAGATCCAGCATCTGAGGCCATACCCATTATCCCAAGGAGGGCCGCCAGGCTCTAGAAACATCCAGCCCCTGGCCCAGGGCTCTTCCAGGCTTCCTGAGAAGTCCAGTTGGCACCAGGAGTGCCCAGCCAACACTAGGGACAACCAGATGGTTAAAGGCCAGCATAAGAACACAACCAACAAGAACCGGAGCAATATGACATCACCAGAACCCAGCTATCCTATTAAAACACCAACTATCCTACTACTGTGATACTACTATGCAATCTGCACCTGCGCTTCCCTCCCTGACCTCCTCCCGGTCACCACCTGGCCTCCTTGGCCAGAGCACACACCCCGGCTGTGGCCAGAGTCAGCAGCCTCATGCTCGCCTCTGAGGCCTAGGACATCAATGCGCCCTGCGAGGGAGTCAGCTGTCTTCCTGGCTGCTCTCTGAGTCCCTGTCGTTCCCTGACCCACCTCCCGGTGCTGTTGCCTCATGGCTGGGACGCTCCTGGTGGGGGGGCGGGGGGCGGGGAAACACCCTGCACCTACAGATTGGGAACCAGCTCACCTGGGGCTGCCTTCAGAAAAAGTGCCAGTCCACGCACAGCCAGGAGCTTAAAGACAAAGGCCTTGAGTGGAATTCCCAAATCAGCTCAAATCAGTTGAATTTTCTTATACAAATTAATGAAAAATATTCAAGTGTGTCTCTCTTTAAAGTGAGCTTACCCATACAGCCATCCTGAATCTTTATAAATCAGTTCAAAAAGACTGAAATAGAGCAATAGAGCTTGTAAATATATGAACACCCAAGAAAACCAGTAGAAAGACAAATGGTAGAAATTTACAAAATAAAATATACTTATGAAAGTGAATTGTGCTTGGTGTGACTTTATTGTGTATTTGTTAAAGCCATGGTTGGGTGTTAATAAAAAATCAAGGACAGTGGAGGAAATATTTTCAAATACTAAAACAATCATCAAATATTTGAGGGTGGTGACACATTTAGTTTTTAAATAACATAGCATAGACCGACACAGATTCAAAATTTTATATCTAGCTTCAATAATTCATATCTTGATGCAGTAGTTCAAGGTAAATATATTTTTTAAGAATCATTTTATCTCATTAAATCACAAATTTGTCTCCTAGAAGACTGGAGACTTTGGATGCTGGGCAGAGCCCCTTTTACGTCATTATAGCTAACCCTTCGTTGCTCTCCTCTTTCTCTGCTCTCTACTCTCAGCTGCTCATGCATCAATGTACATGAGTATGTGTTTTACTCTATATGATACAGCCATAATCCTGTATGTTAAAACACTGTACCTTTGGTTACATGAGCTCTGTATATCTGGCTTGTCCATGATGAATGAAATGATTATGTCATGTAAACAAAACTCAACTTTTATACAACTAAAAAAAGTCAAAGTGGTTCATGTCAAGAAAACAGTATTTTTACTATGAAGGATTAAAAATCTTGTCTTATACAATGCAGGTCCCAAACTTATTTTTCTGAATACACTTAAACAAATTTGTACTATATATTTGTTTCTGGGATATATAAAAGCAGATCAAATGGAACAACTGCAAGTTTTCTAAAATGGTGATACGATGTCTAAAAATCATCCTGGATTATCTTTTCCATTGTTTAATTCTTATGTGTTATTAGCAGTGAAAATGGTTTCACCCCTAACTGTATCTTGATCCTAAGCACTTTCCTCCATTCTTGCCTGTAGCCTTATAATTGAGGTCTCTCTTTCCACAAATTATAACTATATGGCCTTTTCTTTGTATACAGTCAGAGTGGCCATTGTGTGTCTTCTAAATCATTTCATGAAGGTCCATAGTGTATCTGGCCTGCATTTAACTGAGAAGTATACCTTTGGTGTCTGCTCTTCTCTTTCCACTGATCATTATTTACCTCCAGAATCTTCCTTGAATTGGCATTCTGTTTGTCCCCTTTTCTTGGAACAACAAACAAAGAAGATGTAATATACAGACATATTTTCAACTCCGCCAGAGACACAAAAATAAGCAGCTCATCAATTGTACACCAAATTCTCTGATATAAGAGTTTTAGACAGAGTCTGGCTGAGTTGAGTGCAGATGGCAATCATTGTCAGCACTGTGGGGATTGTTCTACAGCTTCTTGCAGATTTACAGAACTGGATGTCAACTCAGAACCCAGCAGAATATTTTCTTTTACATTAGTGGATTAAGAGATTTTATTTAATGATATGTTATTTCAACTTTAGTTGAATGAGTAAATAATCTGTGAAGTATTCTCTGATTTTCAATCTAAAATATCTGATGAGTAGCCATTTAGAAATAACACAGGAAATTTCTCAGATTTATGTTCTTTTTTTTTAATTTTAATTTTAGTTTTTTCAGATTTATGTTCTTTAAAACTGATTTGTATGCCTATTCTGCGACTATCATTATCCTAATAAGAATATTGTAAAAGCTAGTTTCAGATGGAAGGGGAAGGAGGACCTCCCCTATGAGTGTACTTAGAGAGAGCCATGGGAGGAGATGAGGGAGGGAGGGAGGATGGGATTGGAAAGGAATGAGGGAGTGGGCTACAGCTGGTCTGCAAAGCGAATAAAATTAATTAATGTAAGAGATAAAAATTTAATTAAAAAAAGAATATTGTAAACAAGTACTTATTAAGAATTTTTGAGCATTCATATAAGCTCATACTTATATAAAAATATTACTACCACTTTTTTAACATTTTCATATGGTCTAAAACATTTGTAAACTTTTCATCTCATATTTATTCATGTCCTGGAATATTTTCTGTGAACTAGGCACAAATCTGAGTCATTGAAGTAGAGGAAGACTCAGTTGAGTAATGCCTTAATCTGATCAGTCTATAAGCAGGCCAGTAAGTTAAATCCTTGAACATGGGAGATCTTTCCATCTTCTGATATCTTCTACTATTTCTTCACTTAGTGACTTGAAATTTTTTTTCATACAAGTCTTTCACTTCCTTGGTTAGAGTTACACCAAGACAATTTATGATTTTTGTGGCTATAGTTAAGGGTATTGTTGCCTCAATTTCTTTCTCAGCCCTTTTGGCTTTTGTGTGCAGCAGGGCTACTGTGTTTCTTCTTCCTCCTCTTCTTTTTCTCCTCCTCCTCCTCCTCCTCCTCCTCCTCCTCCTCCTCCTCCTCCTCCTCCTCCTCCTCTTCTTCTTCTTCTTCTTCTTCTTCTTCTTCTTTTAGTTAATTTTGTTTCTAGCCACAACTTTTATGAGGGTGTTTATCAGCTGCAGGAGTTTTCTAGAAGAATCTTTTGCATAATTTATGTATACTATCATATCATCTGCAAACACTGATACTTTGACTTCTTTCCAATTTGTATCCCTTTGATCTCCTTGAATTGTCTTGCTGCTCTAGCTAGGACTTCAAGTACTCTGTTGAAGAGACAGAAAGAGAGTAGGCAGCCTTGCCTTGTCCCTGATTTCAGTAGGATTGATTTAAGTTTGTCTTCATTTAGTTGGATGTTGGCTATAGGCTTGTTGTATGTTACGTTTACTATGTTTAGGTATGTGCCTTGTATCCCTGATGTCTCCAAGATTTTAAACATAAATGGGTATTGTATTTTCTCAAGTGCTTTTTCAGCATCTAAAGAGATGATCCTGTGGGTTTTTTTTTCCATTAGTTTGTTTATACAGTGGATTACATTGATGGTTTGTATAGTGAGTCACCCCTGAATGCCTGGGATGAAGCTTTCTTAGTCATGGTGAATAGTGTTTTTGATATGTCCTTGGATTTGGTTTGTGTGTATTTTATTGAGTAATTTCTCTTCAATGTTATAAGGGAGATTGGTCTGAAACACTTTCTTTGTTGGGTCTTTGTGTACTTTAGGTATCAAGGTGAGTGTGGCCTCATAGATGAGTTTGTTAATGTTCCTTCTGATTCTATTTTGTGGAATAGTTTGAAGAGTATTGGTATTAGCTCTTTTTTAAAAGTCTGGCAGAATTCTGTGCTAAAACCATCTGGTCCTGGACAGTTTTGGGATGGGAGACTATTAGTGACTGCTTCTATTTCCTTAGAGGATACTATTTAATTTGTTTAACTGATCTGGATTCATGGCAAATGGTATCTATCAAGAAATTGGCCATTTCATTTAAATTTTCAAATTTTGTGGCATACAGGCTTGTGACGTAAAAGCTAATCATTCCTTAGATTTCCTCAGTGTCTGTTGTTATGTCCCACTTTTCATTTCTAATGTTGATTTGGCTAATGTCTTTCTGCTTTTGAGTTAGATTGGCTAAGAATTTGTCTATCTTATTGGTTTTTTTCAAAGAACCAGCTCCTGGTTTCGTTTATTCTTTGAATTGTTCTCTTTTTTTTTTAAATTTATTGATTTCATCCCTGACTTTGATTATTTTCAGCTGTCTACTTCTTTTGCATGTGTCTCCTTTTTTCTAGAGCTTTCAGGTGTGACATTAAGTTGCTTGTATTAATAAACTGGAGATGTCCCCAGTTTATTAATGCACTTTGGGCTCTGAACTTTCTTCTTAGCACTGTTTTCATTGTGCCCCATCAATTTGGGTACATTGTGCCTTCATCTTCATTGAATTTTAGGGAATCTTTAATTTTTTCTTTATTTCTTCCCTAACCCAGCTTTCATTGAGTACAGAGTTGTTCCACTTTCATGCATGTGTAGGCTTTTTGTTATTTCTGTTGTTATTGAAGTCCACCTTTAGTCCATGGTGGCCTGATAAGATACAAAAGATTATTTAAATCTTCTTCTATCTGTTGAATATTGCTTTGTTACCTTCATTATGGTCAATTTTGAAG